GCCTTATTCGAATTATAAATTCGAATTCGAATAAAAATTTATCTTTTACTTTTTTGGCCGTAGTTATATGGGTGCCTTATTCGAATTATAAATTCGAATTCGAATAAAAATTTATCTTTTACTTTTTTGGCCGTAATTATATGGGTGCCTTATTCGAATTATAAATTCGAATTCGAAGAAAATTTTATCTTTTGCTGCAGCAATGAAAAAGGGGGTGTGCGCCCGAAATTTTCATTTATATTCGAACTCGAATTAGGCAGCTACTCTCCTAGAGAGTTCAAGTACTAGATACTGAGAAATTAGGCTTTTGGGTTGTCTAAAAAAATCCTAACTTAGGGAATCAAATAATCAATGTTTTTAATTTATATTCTTTTTGTAATATGGTTTGCTCTACTTGAATCATTATTTAGAATTATGATAGATACTGTATATCCATTCATTAAATAGATCAAATAATAGAATTGAATCTTATTTTGTAAATGCTAATGAAGCCATATGTCCACCAAGAGAAAAACCATGTAGAATAGCTTATGTTAATTTCATTTTTTTGACACTAATGAAATAATACAAATGTTTCTAAAACACGTGCTTTACCCATAATATATAAATCAGTAACATACAACAATGATGAACGAGATTGATCTGGTGGTTTTCTTAAACCATAATATGAATTTTCAAGAAGAATTGAACCTATACGATATTGATTAATTAATGGAACTGCAGTTAGTAGCATTCGTCGACTAAAACCATGATTATCTCTGTTTCAGCATAAGAAATTCCTATTGAAATTGAATCAATACCAAAACGATGATCACATGGTAAAACAAGTTGAAAATGAGCTGTAGCTACTTGAGGTGAAACCTATTCAAATAAATATAACAAAAGAAAAAAAGATAATATTAATTAAATGATTAAAATGATTTTAATTTCCTACCAAATGTAGTAAATAATTGGCAAGTGGTGCACGAAATCGAGCATTTGTATAATTTTGATTGCTGTTTATTTCTTGTTTAATTATTTCAACAGTATTTTGTTGTATATTTTCAGCTGGTACAAGTTTTAAACATTCACCTCTTACATCAATTTTTTCACGTCGATAGGTAAAAATTTCTTGTAAATGAAATGGAATTGTTGATCTGATCTTCTTTTTCTTTAATCGAACAAAAAACAGGACAATACAATGCTTTAGTATTCTCAATGGTTTGTAAACACACACATACAAAAAAAACTCTTGTATGTTCTTTTTATTTTCCTAAATCAATCTCGTTACTTTACTATGAAAACAAAAAACAATATTTTTATTGCATAGCACCAGTAATGTTAAGTAAAATTTGAGGACCATGTGGTAAATAGACGCTATTTCTTGATTTTGATAATTGATTTGCAGTACCTTCAGCGGCTTCAATTCGTCGAAGTTCGATCAAACCTAACATGAATATTAAAACAAAGTAAGACAAGATAATAAAAGATATTCGAAAATTTACCATCACCAACTTCATCTAAAGCTTTGCCAATCAAATCAGCTGCACGAGTATCACCCTGTGCTGCAATAACATTTGCTTGACGACTTTGTTCAGTCTGCTTTTTTTTTATCAAAAAAAAAACAAACTCATACAAATTTTATTCTTATTGATTTATTTTTTCGACTAAAAATCGTTGTTTTTCAACATCTTGTTGTGCAACTTGTTTTAATTCAACAGCACTTGTAAATTCAGGTCTAAAACTTAAATGTGTCTAATTTAAAGAAAAAAACAATATAAGCAACTCGAGACTCTTTTTTGTTGTATCTTACAATTGAAATATCATCAAGTAATAAACCAAATTGAGCAGCACGTTCTGTTAATAATTCACTAACACGTTGAGAAATAAGTGTATGTTGTGTAATCAATTCAATAGCATCAAATTGAGACTAAAAATCAGGTTAATTATTCATAGTAACCAAAACAAAAGTGTTTGAGACTTAGTACAACAGATTTTAAAACCTCATTAATAATCGATAGTAAAACACGTTCTTCATAATCTAAACCCAAATTTGCAAAAAAGTTTTGGTAAAAGTTCAGCTCTTGGTCGATAAAGAATACGTAATGTTATATTAATTGTTTGTAAATCTAAAATAAAAATAATAAAATGTAATTTATGCATATTTCATTTATACGAAGAAAAAATAACGGAGACTTCCGATTTTAAGTTTTATGAAGTATCCTAAGATTGTTGAATGATGAAAGTGTAGAGATGTAAACGATCAGTTGAGTCGCCATCGACGGCCGCAAAATTTTTTAAGATACCTCAGCCATATACATTCATTGATGTTTCAATAGACATCGTATTTACCTTCTTTTTTTTCGCGAGCTTACATTTTCCTCATGTTCACCTCTCTCCTGAAGTTGACTGTTTTATTCTAGCTTTTATACCTATTATTTCTGTTATTGATGGAACAGATCGTGGATGTGTACAAATATCAAATATAATTGGTCTATGAAGCCATGAAATCATAAAATGAGTTCCTTCTTCAATAACATCTAGTTTAACACCTTGAAAATGATCAAAAATAACATCTCGATGACCATCATCAACTAGAATATATTTAAATTTAAAGAAAACAAGTTTTTTTTAATCTTTTCATTACTTACCATTATAAAGTATAGAATTAATCACACCACCACCAATACCTAAACCAATATCAATTCTTCCTAAAACACTAAATTTTTCTATCGAAATAAAATATTATCTCAATATCTTACCAATATTATTAAATAAACGAGATGCATTTATTAGCAAATAGTTCCAGAAACAAAACGAAACCATATGAAAATTCTTCATATCTCTATCGATAGAAAAAGAAAATGCATCACTATTTAATCTATCTATCTACTACAATAACAAACCAATGTAATATATACATAGAAAACGATTAAATAACAATAAATTTTGAAAGCAAAAAAAAATACATGCATACTTTTAAATAAATCGAAATCCACTTGAAAAAATGTGAGCATCGGTTTTTTTAGACAAAACAAAAAAAAACAAAACGTGTATAAAGTTTAGCACCGTTCAGATATTGTTCATCATTGGATCTTACTGAATTTGATGTATTACTGTTCTTTGCTATTGCAGCGACAATTGCTTCGGGTGCTGGAACAGTCTATAAAGAAATTATTTATATCATAGAAAAACAAAATTTTTTCAATTAATATAATTTGATTTTGTTGGAAAAAATTGTTGTGGAAATGATGCACCAACAACACGGAAATCTTCAAGAATTTTATAGTTTTTTAAAATTTCTTCAAGTTTTGGATTGATTTTTGGTTTTTGTCGAGAATATTTTAGAAATGCCCAGAATTTTTCTAAACCCTATAATTGACCTAAATAGGAAAATTATTTTTCTTATTGACACTTTTCTTTTTTTTTTTTGTGTAATCTATTTTATTACCAGCTTCATGATCACAAAGAGTTTCTTGTTGAAAATCTTCAAATACATGTTGACGAAAATGTTTTTCTATACCATATGTATAAAATCGAAATAGACATTCAACACCATATCTATACATAAATAATAATATTCAATTTTTTTCATATTATTTTTCATAAAAACAATTCATAATATATGCCGATGATCAGTTTTAGTATCTTCAACAGCATATTGTTTAAATTCATTGTACATATGGCGATTAAAATTTTCACATAAGAAAAATAACTAAAAACGATAGAGTGTATTCATTTCCATTGATTGACCAGGACCAAGTTTAACGCTTTCTAGAAATTAGATCATTACAGAAAACAAAATGTATTTTATTTGTAAATCAACATAACTTTAGATTATAAATATTTTCCATGAAATAATAAAGTTTGGCGATTAGTGAAACTTAGTGTTTTTAATCATTGACGATTATTTTATTGCTTTTCAAATTTATCATGTAGATAAGAATGATAATATTTATTAAAAAAACTCCATAAAAGAGTAAAATCTTTGTTTTTTTTTGAAAATTATAGCAACACACATATTCTCTATTAGCTATTTAAATAAGAATATAAGTCTTTTTAGACTCTGATTTTTACCGGAGAGTAATTTTCATTGTTGTTTCTAGATATGTTGACTCTTCTTTAGTTATTAAAAGATTCGTTTTTTATACGTTCAATGCAACATAATTTCAATTTTTTTACTAGTAGCCTGTTTTCCTCGAAATATTGTAACTATGTACTGAACTAATAATCTTTTTTTTTGCTATCAAGACATTGTTGTTTATATTTAAGATAAACTTGTTGAGTAAAACCATTTTGTTATAAAAGTGTATGAGACGGATGTTGAAATTGAGGAATTTCCACCAGTGTTGAACCACAAACATCATAAGAATTTGAATTATTTCCATGCCAATAATGTGAATCATTGTATGATGATGAATATTGATCATAGAAATCTTGTTGTCGAGTTCTAAATAAGTAAAACTCATTTTATACTAATAATAATTGACATTCAATTGTTTGCATTAGGAACAAAAAATAAGAGAAAATTCGTCAAAAAAAAATGAAGCAACACAAGTTATTTTTTACTATATCCATTTACCTTACTCGTATTGAACGATAAGAAAGATGATCTTATTATCTGCAATAAGTAAA